CAAACACACACTCGAACACACACATATATATATATATATATATTATATTAATATATATATAATATATATACATATACATATATCTCTTTGTATGTATACATATATATATATATATATATATATATGCGTGTGTATATTTGTTATATTTTCTATATCTATTTACATACGTGAGATATACATACTTATATATAGTTATACAATTATAAAGAAATGTAAAAACATTTATACATGAATATATATATATATATAAATATATGTATGTATGTATATATATACATATATATTTGTGTATATATGTATATATGTTTATACGTTTTCTATGTCTATATACATACGTAAAATATAATTGCTTATTTATGCTTATACAAATATAAAGAAATATAAAAAATTTATACATATGATTATATATATATATATGTATATACTATCTACATCTATATCCATATCAATATTTATTTTTATACTTATTTAATAAAGAAATAGATATAGATAATATATATATATATATATATTAATATATATATTCATTTTTAACAAAAATAGATGTATACCATCAATAATTTAGACAGAACTCCGTTATGAATAATATGTGCGTTTTCGTTTACTTGCCATAGTCTGCGTCTAGCTCAAATATAATTATATAATTGCATAATTATATTATTATATGTACAAGTATATAAATATATATGTACATAAGTATATATTGCAACTGGAAATATGTATTGATTGTCCTTTTCTTTTGCACAGAACGTCCGGTTTGGCAAGAAACACTGGACCATCCATCGCCGATACAGAGATTTCGCGGCCTTATATCGGGTCATGCGACGAGAATTTCCCGTTGACCATCGCACAGATTTACAACTGCCTCCGAGAAGATTGGTCACTTTCAACAAATTCGATTCTGTCTTTTTAGCACGGAGAACGAAACAATTGGATTTGTTTGCCAAAACACTGATCCGGAATCCAAATTTTCTTAATCATCCGCTTGTACTGCTGTTTTTCTCGACGTCGTGGACTTTGGTGTACAACTTCGAGGATACAGATGGGAAGGCCAATGGAGAGTTATTACAACCCAGAGGGGGGCATGAGAGTGAAAGTCTGTCACCAAGGGAAATGAAACGCTATGTGGAGGCTACTCAGGGCAGTCGGAAGCTGTACGTTAATGCGTCGAAGAATAGTTCCAGTTCCGGAAGTAACACTAGGAGGGTGAATGATATAAGTAATTTAACCAAAAAGCGTTTGCTCATGCGAAAACCCTCCGTCCCGTATTTCCATGAGCATGTCGAACCGGTATCGATAGTCGATGCTCACCCGAGGTTGCGATTCTTGAGGGGTGAGAAGAAGAAGGTCATTGCAAACAAGAGTAGATCAGGTACGCCTGCTAGGGTAGTGACGGAATAAGCCGCACATGACAGTATAAGTGTGCCTACATGAAGAAATAAGAGCGCGTGCGTGACAGAATAAGAGTGAGGCTCAAAAGACGGTACCCAACTATTGCTTCTGATATGCGGCGAATGTCAACCACACGAACAAGTGTCTGTCAGGGGATCCTCAGACTCGCAACTTATTTGGTGACGATATGAGACGGGTGTTATATATACAAACTACGACACAATTGCCGTATGATTGGCAGAGTGATAAGTATACGGGGTACGAGGGTAATGGCTAGTATAGGCTACAGACACGCTACAGACATGCTACAGACATGCTACAGACACGAAGGCCTGGCGCGATAACGAGAAAGTTTGTGCACCCATTAATGTGAAACCATGGGATTGGGTTTTGGGTCGTTGCAGCCTTTCAGCTTAATTACATACATATTCACCGTTATGGTGGTGTAGAACAACGTTTTGACCAAATAAGGAGACATGAAGGTTCACATTCAAGCCTCTCACTCCCGGACCGTAAGTAAATACATGCGTAAAAAAATGAATAAGCGCAAGAAAGAAACAAGCGATTGCCCGAAGTAGACCTATAAGCCGTAAATAGAGATGTTGCACAGTAGTCTCAAGATGCTTATAGTAGGATCACACCCAGTTGTAAAAATGCAAATAAAGTTAAGAATTACAATTAAATGTGTATACTGTTCTCAATGTGTCCAGTTGGCAAGTTATTTGGGGTTCCATTTCTGGTCCAAACTGTTTGATAGGCACATATAGAGAAACAGAATCAACCAAAAGTACACAGTCGTCCGGGGATGATCTCTTGTGTGTAGTATAACGAATCTGCGCCTAAATGTGATGTGCAACTGTGTTCACGTGTTCCGCTAATGGCCCTCAATGAGATGCCAGTTCGCTGAGACCATACTGTAGCGCTGTGAAGTTCTCTGCGACCATACTGTAGCGCTGTGAAGTTCGCTGTGACCATACTGCAGCGCTGTGAAGTTCTCTGAGACTATACTGTAGCGCTGTCAAGTTCGTTGAGACCATACTGTAGCGCTGTGAAGTTCTCCGTGACCATACTGTAGCGCTGTGAAGTTCTCTGGGACCATACAGTAGCGTTGTGAAGTTCGCTGTGACCATACT